TAGATTATGATGATAATGCATAAAAATTAAAAGTTGAATAATCATTTTGTTCTATCAATGCTTCATATACTTAAGGTTGTCTCCATAATGATTCTTTCTTCAATATTCTTTATGTTCCAAGGTAATAAATGAGCTTCAAAATTTGATGTTTGTGGGTAACATGTTCGTTAAACCCTCACGAGACTTCACTCATCCTCTAGGGATGCTTAGGGGTTTAAAAGCCTTATTACATATGCTAAATGCAACCGTAACTCCCACGAAAGAGGAGAAATGTTGTTTTTGTATTTTCATTCTGTTTTGCTATGGGATTAGCAAAATGTAAGTTTGGGGGTGTGATAAGCACCGAATATTGCATATTTAAACACCCTTAATTGCATTAGTTAGGTCCATTATTTGGTTTTATTGGATAGATTATCTTCATTTGTATGTTTTTGTGTATTTTTAAGTTTATTCTCTAAAAATAAACAAAAATAAGGATTTATTGGCTTTCGAAGAATAAAATAATCTCGGGTTTTAACTTCAAATGATTTTTAAGAAAAGATGACCCAAATAGTTCATGGACACTTTGTGCAGTGCATAAAAGAGAAGAGGGACTCAATGGCCCAAGCCAAAGCCATGCAAAGAAGTTGCATTTTGAGCCCAAACTGCAACACTGTGGGTGCCCGCCAACTCCATGCACAAAAGTGGCAAGTGGACACCAAGAATGAAAGAGGCCAACAATTGCAAGAAATGAGCTAAATAAATTCTAGTAGTAAACCGATTTCACAGGTGAATGCCAAGAACCGTAGGTGCCTGCCAGATGCTGCAGCTGCACGCTGGCATTCATTCGCGCACGAGCAAAGAGGTGCCATGGTACGCCGCGGGCGGACGCCAGATACTACGGGCGCCGACCAACCTATGGACAACAATGAGCTGTCCCACTCTCTCTTGGTCAAAGGTTGTTCCCTTTAATTAGGGAATGAAGGTTACGACTTTGAGGGCTGTAACCCATTTTTTGTGTATTATGTACCATATCTATATGAAAAAGATATTATAAAATTATTATTGATTTAATTTAGAAGAAGGGGGGAGAGAGATTTCTAGGGTTCCTACGGAGTTTTCCTATTGAAGGGAGCTGTAACCATGGGGCTAGAGTGGAGGACTTCTTCTTGTTTAATCCTTGAAGCAACTGCCATGTCCATGAAGAAATAACTCCCTTCCTAGGGAGTTGATGTAGCCCATTCCAAGTAGAAATGTTGTAATTGTGTTTCAATTTAGGGATTTAAGATGTATATAGCAAATTTCATAATTTAGAGATTTACCTATGTTGTAATTGGATTTCATTCAAATAAATGATTATGTTGAATTGTCTATCTTGTCTTAGAATTCATATCTTCATAATTACATTTCTTACATCTTTATAATGAGAATGAAGATGAGATTATACAATGGTTTTCTTGGCATGTTGTATGAAGATTTTGATAGTCCATGACTTAGGGAAACCTGTAATGGATTATGACTTAGTCTTTGACTTCATGTGCATTTACCATACATGTAAGGGATTTAATAGTCCATGACTTAGGGAAAATGTTTCATACTACACTCTAGTTTAGGTAGATGAATCATGCCAACCTTTGATGGATTATGCTTAACTCTTTAATATATGAACTTCTTGAAGATATTGTGGCTATCATGCATTTATACAAATCATGGTTGTATACATAGTTAGTCCCCTGGTTAATTGAAATTAAACATATTTATGAGGCTTGTGGTGAAGTCATCTCCCTATCCTTTTTTTCTCTAAGTTTAATCCATTTAAATTCATTTTATTCATTGTTTTAATGCAATTTCAATTCATAACTCTAAGTGACCAACAAATCAAACCATCATATCTTTTATTAAACTTAAAGTGATTTTACAACTTTGGTTGCTATAAATTAACAATTCTTATGGTTCGACAAACCCTTATAATAGCCCTATTCTACATTAATTTGTGCTATTGCAAGTGGTGATTTTAATTAGTAAACAAATATCACACATCATTCATGCTCAAATAGGGATGGTAATGGGCAGTCTGGGAGAGGATCTCATTCCCCATCCCCATCCCTACTCCCGTTTAATTTTGTTACCCCAAAAACTGCCACCACACCGATTAAAATTTCACCTCCCACCCCTATAACCATTCCCACCCCATCCCCACTTGCCCCGCCCCATAACTGAATAAATTGAAAAGCCACTCTTTGGTTAGTAAAAAAGGTCTTGGAAGCCAACAAGTGAAAAACCTAACATCTTCAACCTCTAAAAATCTCCATTTTAAAACCCATTGAGTTTTTTTTTACAGAGTGAATATTAGAACACCAAGAGAACGGATTGCTCGAACCCATGCCTGACATATCGTAGAGACAAGGTGAAGATATGAAAAGTTAGATCATTTGATGTGTTTTACTTAAGGAACTGCTATCTCATATTATTTTTTTTATTTTCTTAATTTTTGAAAAAGGTAGTGTAATACCCTAATATTTTAAAGGATTTATTAATTGGGATTAATTATTTTTATTTTATTTTTAAATGATTTAATTTGAATTAATTGCGTTTATTTTAATTTTTAATTGATTTGTTTTAGCGAGTGCTTAAATTAATTATTTTATTTTATTTATATTTCGTGAATTATTGATGATAGGGAAAAATAACCCTAACCTATCTTAACCTAACGACAGCGGTAATTAAGTATTGACTAGCCGCCAGACCTCTTCAACTTTCAAGTGATAATATCTCGTTATCAAGGATAAGCATTTCTATTAGATAAGAATGATAACAAATCGTATCAAGGATAAGATTTGTTATAGGGTAAGTTCAAATCTTATCAAGGATAAGATTGCCACAGGATAAGCTCCATGGGATAAGGACGATGAAATTCCCTTATCAAGAATAAGGGAAGTGACTATAAATATGAAGACGACTCAGGAATAAGGTACACATAAAAAATCTCATACTAAGACTCTTTACAATAGAAGTTCTTTCTCTGAAAACCCCCACTAACTTGATCATCAGAGGGTCAATGGCCGGCACCACACCGGTGTTTGATTTTGCCGTCCTTGTTTTGCAGGAAATGGTGTCGTACTAGGCCGTGGCGAATTTTAACATCAACAGTTGGCACCGTTTGTGGGAATGACAATTCCCTTGAATCAATTAATCACTCGGTTGGCTGTATACGTTTACGGTCCGGTATGGTTACCGAAAGAACACCGTCGCAGGGATCTGGTTAAAGGGAAGAGTTTGGTTTAAACCTAAACGTCCTAAACGAACAGACACGGCTTGCAGCGTTGGAACTGCAGGTCTAAACTCTGAATTAGGGTATGGACCAGTTGATCCAACAAAATGCAGCACTCCTGCAACACCTTGTTCCACTAGTTTAACAAAGCTTGCCACGATAAGACCTCTCGAATCCAAATAGGGGTAATGGGAATCTGGAGGAGCAGGATACTCATCCTCCCCAACATGAGACCTAAGTGGAACAAAGCCAGGTGGGAAACCGACATAGAGAGGTGATCCACCCCTCTCTTCCACGGAGTTCCCGACCCCATGAAGACACAACTGTCATTGAAAAGACAAATGAGATTTCCCACGTTGACCTAGAGATGCAGGATCTCAAGGCAAAGATGGAGGGTGTGATGCAGGCCATGATGGGGAAAGGCATTGCAGCCATAGATGGTTTGGTGCAGAAGACCAACTTGCCGTTTAGCCCCTCGGTTATGAAATACCCCTTGCCAAGCAAATTTAGAATGCCCACAATTGAGAGTTTCGACGAAACTAAAGATCCCCTTGACTACTTGGAGACTTTTTAAGCACTTATGCACCTGCACATAATGCCAGATGAGATCATGTGCAGGGCTTTCTCAACAACCCTCAGAGGATCAGCACGGGTATGGTTTAACAAACTAAAGCCAGTAACTATCGAAACCTTTGAAGAATTGAGTAAGGGCTTTGTGGGCCATTTTATTGCTGGCCAGAGACATAAAAGGCCGGCTACCCACCTCCTTACTGTGAAGCAACAGAAGGGAGAGTCACTGCGAGATTACATTAGTCGTTTCAACACGGAGATGTTACAGGTGGAGGAAGCGGATGACAAGGTGGCCCTAGCCGCCTTCATGGGAGGACTCCAAACCTCGAGATTCCTCTTCTCTTTATCAGAGGAACCTTCTACCAGCATGGCCGAGTTATTGGTTTGAGCTAAAAGACATATGAATGCTAAAAATGCAATGATTGCGAGAAAGGGAAAAGAAGGGGAGGATAAAAAGTCAGACAAGAAAAGGCCGGCCCTGACAACCAGAGATGAAAAGGAAACCAAGTACAAGAAACCCATGGTCAACCAGAATGAAAGGGTGTCTCGCTATAAGAACGCGAAGAGGTATACAAATTACACTCCTTTAAATATGCCAATAGATCAAGTTTTCCTGCAGATCCAAGATGAACCATATTTGAAGTGGCCACCAAAGTTAAAGTCAGATCCGGCGAGGAGACCTCATGATAAGTACTATAGGTTCCATAAAGACCATGGGCACGCCACAGAGGATTGCTTCGACCTCAAGGATCAGATTGAGACTCTGATCCGAATGGGGCATATGCGAAAGTTTATTGTTGGGAATGACAGAACCAACATTAATCCACCTAGAGCAGGCCGAGATAATCGTCCTCCTGATTAACAACCAATGGGAGAAATTAGGGTTATAGCCGGGGGATGTGCAGGAGGTGGAGAATCAAGCTCAGCTCGAAAGGCTTATGCCAGGAGAATACAAAGCTCATCTAAGGTGTGCGAAGTTGGAGTACAGGTTCAACATCGGAAGATGCCTCGTCTAGGTGATCCTGTTATTACATTCTCGGACGAAGACATTAAAGATGTGCAACAACCTCATGATGACCCCCTCATTGTTACCATGATGATCACTAATTATACTATTCGATGAATCTTGGTGGATAATGGAAGTTCGGTAAATATCATTTTCCTTGATGTATTCAGCAAAATGAATATTGGTAAGGAGAAACTCAGACCTACTAGATCACCATTGGTAGGATTCACGGGAGATAAGTTCTACCCTCTAGGAGCTGTCATTCTTCCCATCACTGCAGGAACTAGCCCGAAACAAGTTATGGTCATGGTAGACTTCCTGGCGGTGGATTGCCCATCTGCTTACAATGTTATCCTAGGAAGAACTACCTTAAACTCAATGAGGGCAATCACTTCGACTTATCACCTCTTGATGCGTTTCCCTACAGAGCAAGGCGTAAGCAAACTAAGAGGAGATCTGACCACTGCCAAAGAATGCTATGTTGCGTCTCTGAGAGAAAAGAAGCAGTAAGAGGCTTTGGTTGTCGAAGAAATTGAAGAACAGGAGCAGGATCGAGCCAAGCCAATTGAGGACCTGGTGGATATATGCTTAAATGACAATGACGTAACAAAAAAGGTGAAGATAGGGTCTCTACTCCCCTTAGACTTCATGAATACTCTTGTATAGTTCCTCAGACATAATCAAGATGTGTTCGCATGGTCACATGAAGACATGTCTGGTATTGATCCAGCTACGATCGAGCATCGATTAGACACGGATCCCACAGTCAAACCTATCAGGCAAAAACGAAGAACATTTGCTACAGAGAGGAACATGGCTATATCAAAAAAGGTGAATAAGCTTCTGAAAGCTGATTTCATCCAAGAGGTTAATTATCCCGACTGGTTGGCTAATGTTGTTTTGGTAAAAAGGCCAATGGAAAATGGAGGTTGTGTGTAGACTTTACTGATTTAAATAAGGCGTGCCCCAAAGATAGCTTCCCTCTGCCAAGAATCAACATGTTAGTAGAAGGAACGGCTGGCCATGAGTTGCTTAGTTTTATGGATGCATATGCAGGATATAACCAAATCTTAATGCATCCACCAGATAGAGAAAAGACCTCTTTTGTCATGGACAGAGGTTTGTATTGCTACAAGGTGATGCCTTTTAGGCTCAAAAATGCTGGTGCAACATACCAGCGGTTAGTCAACTTGATGTTCAAGAATCAAATCGAAAGGAATACAGAGGTATATGTGGATGACATGCTGGTAAAAATCTTAAAAGCTCAAGACTACCTAGTTGATCTACATAAGACATTCCAAGTCCTTAGGAAACACCAAATGAAACTCAACCCAGACAAATGTGCCTTTGGTGTCTCCTCAGGGAAATTCCTTGGTTACATGGTAAGCAGGAGAGGGATAGAGCCAACCCCGAGAAAATCCAGGCAATTCTCAACATGCGGTCTCCAGCATCGACTAAGGAACTTCAAAGATTAACAAGAAGAATCGCCGCTCTGAACAGGTTGATTTCCAGGGCAACGGATAGATGCCTGCCTTTCTTTCGTGTGCTCAGGAAAGCTTTTTCATGGACACCTGAGTGTGAGCAAGCTTTTACAGAGCTGAAAGAGTATCTCACTTCACCACCGTTACTATCATGGGCAATGCAAGGAGACCAGTTGTATTTGTACTTAGCGGTTTCTCCATCGGCAGTAAGTTCAGCCTTAGTCCACGAAGAAGATGGAATTCGGAGGCCAGTATATTATACTAGCCGTGTATTCAGAGGAGCAGAAGAGAGGTACCCAAGGATAAAAAAAGTTGGCTCTTGCCCTAGTTGTCTCTGCAAGGAAACTTAGGCCTTACTTCCAGGCACATACCATGCATAATAGTATTAACAGACCAGCCACTTAGGCAGGTCCTCCGCAAACCTGATACTTCGGGGCAACTTATAAAGTGGTCGATAGAACTTGGAGAGTTTGATATCCAATACAAACCCCGAACGGCCTTAAAAGCCAAGCACCTGCCAGATGTTATAGTGGAATTCACACCAAAAGAGGGGCATGAGCATGGCGTAAATGAGCAGGAAGAAACTGAGTCTACTTGGACATTATACATGGATGGGACGGTCAACGCCTGTGCAAGTGGGGCAGGGCTAGTAATTGTTTCCCCGAATGGGGAATGCATCAAATATGTACTCAGGTTTGGATTTAAGGCAACCAACAATGAGGCAGAATATGAAGCCCTCCTAGCAGGCCTCAGGATAGCTAAAGCTCTGGAAGTTGAGCGACTACTAGCGTATACCGATTCTCAAGTAATAACTGGACAAGTCCAGGGGGAATATGAAGCCAAGGATGAGAAGATGAAGACCTATCTACATAAGATAGAAGATATCAAGGGCTTTTTTAAGAAGTTCTCTATTCACTGGATCCCCCGAGAAGATAATAAGCTGGCAGATGCCCTAGCTCCACTGGCAACCGCAGAGGAAGATAAAGCCATACCTGTGGGATATTTGGATGAGCCTAGCACAGTTTGGGATTGGCCACAGAAAATACACCAGGTGATCCCAGGTATGGAGTGGGCAGAACCCATTATCAGGTACATAGAGAACGAAGAGCTACCCCAGGATCGCATGGAAGCACGAAAGATCAGGATGCGTGCAGCAAAATATTGCCTCATTGAAGGGGTTCTCTACTAGAAGGGATTTTCTCTACCCTACTTGCGTTGTGTCTCCATAGATGAGGCGAATTATATTATAAAGGATATACATGAAGGCTTTTGTGGAAACCATGCTGGGGGCAGATCACTAGCGAATAAAGCTATCCGACAAGGATACTTTTGACCTACTATGAGGAAAGATGCGCTTGAGTTTGTGAAGAAATGTGACAAGTGCCAGAGATTTGCCAATGTCCCAAAACGACAAGCAGAAGAGTTAACCCCTCTTACAGGGCCGTGGCTTTTTGCCCAATGGGGGACGTACCTCATCGACCCTTTACCCCAAGGGAAGGGACAAACTAAATACACAATTGTGGCTATCGATTATTTCACCAAATAGGTGGAGGCTGAACCATTAGCTCATATTGGAGCGAATGAAGTAAAAAAGTTTTTCTGGAAGACAATAATCTGCAGGTTCGGAGCACCAAGGGTAATTGTGACCAATAATGGGAAGTAGTTTGAAAGTGAGCAGTTCTTTGATTTTTGTAATGAACTTGGGGTCAAAGTTCATTTCTCTTCTCCTGCCCATCCCCAAGCCAATGGGCAAGTTGAGGTCACAAATAAGACAATACTGAAGATGATCAAGACACGCCTAGAAAAGGCCAAGGGCTTATAGCCTGAACAACTACCCGGAGTTTTATGGGCCTATCGCACTACCGTAAGAACCCCCACTTAGCTTTTGGAAGTGAAGCTGAGATCCCGGTAGAAACAAAGGTTGCTACCCTCAGAACCAAGTATTTTGAACCTCAACAGAACGAGATGGAACTACGGTTAAACTTGGACCTGATAGAAGAAAAAAGAGAGTAGACCCAAATCAAGGCTGCAGCTTACCAACGGATGGTATCCAAGTACTACAACGCTCGGGTCAAGCTAAGGAGGCTTAAGCTAGGGGACCTAGTGCTTCGCAAGGTTACCGTAGCTACTATGGTGAAAGGGGAAGGATAGTTAGCTCCCAACTGGGAGGGCCCCTATCGAGTAACCCAGTGTAACAAACCGGGGGCATATTGGTTAGAGACACTTGGTGGGAGCCAACTTCCCCACCCATGGAATGCAGAACATTTGAGGAAATATTACCAGTAGGTATAGGCTATGTTTTATTATCTCACTTTTAAAAGTGCTAGTATGTTTTTAGCTTCAATAAAGCAGACCAGTGTTTAATGGATGCTGATGCTTGACTATCGAATATTATTTTCGATAAGTCTTTAATAAAATAATTATTCATATTTATTTCACGTGTTTCCACTGCTGATTACGTTATTACTGAATTTAATAAGTCATAAAAGGACTAGTAAAGCATTAAGTCCATTTTTTTATTAAAAGAAATATTCCCTTACTAAAGGGACGAGCTGGGTGAAGCTCGTAAAAAGACATTCCTTCAAAAGAAGGACATGCTTAATGAAGCCTGAAAAAGTAAAAGAAATTCTGCATACCGAAATAATGAGTATGAAGCAATATCATGAAAGACAAAATGTCAAAAGAAGAGCAACTATTCTCTGAGTTGAGAGATGTCAAAAGAAGAGCAACTATTCTCTGAGTTGAGAGATATTCTGAACAGTTCTGAGGGATTGACATGCTAAGAAAGAAAAAAAAATTACTATGGAATTCAATCTTCCTCTTTACTCTCAGCCAGAATATCATACATAGAAAAATCTATATCTGGATGATCTTTGCTGACAAGAGCTTTGAACTGGTCAAAACCATCACAGCAAGCCTTGCCTATGAGCACCTTAAACTCATTAGAATTTTTAAAGCTCTCCACGGCAGCTAACTTCTCAAGTTCCAGCTTATTGAAGTATTCTTCGGTAAGTCTCACTTTCTTATTTTGAAAGTTTAATTTTACATTAGCCAAGTCATCTTCTTTATTTTTAAGTATAGAAGTAACATCTTCGTATTTAGCCTTGAAGGAAGCCATCTCTAGGGAAAGCTTTTCATATTCTTTTGCAATAACAACAGAGTATGTAGTGCCCTATAAATCAATACATAAATAAATAAATAGTGGCAAATAGTTGAAAAAAAAAGAGATGCACATGATAAGGGTAAAATCTCACCTGACTAATTAGATGAAGAAATTTTCTTGAAAGCTCAGATGCTGGCAGGTTTTGCAATCTGGTAGCGTCATCTTTTACTACCATTTTATGTAGCCTATCATACGCGACATTAGCGTTATCAAGAACCGACTCCCCTTGGGAAAGTGCTTGGTTTGTTGATACCGAATTAAAACTCTCGAAACTCGTAGGAACCCCACCAAATCCCTAAAACCTAGAGTGGGACCTGGTAACACTCCAGGGTTTGAAGATTTACTATGATTTTGCTCTCCTACCCTTCGTAATTTCTTGGAAGTAGGAGTAGAGGGAAGATTACTTGACCGGACTTAGGCTATGATCCTTTTATTGAGTTTCTAGCCTACATAAAGAGTAGTAAGGAAAATATTTAATAAAATATTAACTAAAATTAGTAAGTTTACGTATAGGTAACTTTGTTTTTCTTACCTTTCTCTGAAGGGGTGAGGGTTTCAGTTGAGCTAGTAGCTCCTACATACAATTCTAGAGCTTCCTCCATCATAAGATCGTTAAAGGTCTTCAATGGGTGCGCAAGGGCGTTACCAACATATTCTTTTTCTTGGGCTGAGAGAGCTGGTTTCACCTTAAAGTCTGGAAAACGGAATTATAAGTCGCAATTCTCTAAAATAAATAAATAAATTATTTTGTGAATACTATTCACTTGAATAGTACCCACGGGTACTGTTCACAGGTTAAAAAAAATTATTTTGTGAACACTATTCACATGAATAGTACCCGCGGAACTGTTCACAAGGTAAAAAAAAAAAAATTGTGAGTACTATTCACATGAATAGTACCTACGGGGGTACTATTCACAGGATTATAAAAAAAAAATTTATTTTGTGAGTACTGTTCACATGAATAGTACTCGCGGGTACTGTTCACAAGGTTATTAATATATATATATATATATATATATATATATATATATATTTTGTGAGTACTATTCACATGAATAGTACCACGGGTATTGTTCACAAAAAAAAAAAAAAAAAAAAAAAAAAACCATATATATATACATTGTTATATATCATACCTGCAGGGTTTGAATTACTCCAAACACTGGGAAATTTCCCGTATGTACCGGAAATAAAAAAGAAACGACTCTTCCAGCCTTTATTATTTTCAGGAGCTGCAACAATGAGGAATATCTTCCTTGATCGACACTGAAAGTACCAAAAGTTATCATTTTTCTTCCTGGGATAATAAAAATTCAAGAATTGATTTACGGTTAGACGACCATTGCCACACCTTCCCGAAACAATCAAACAGCCTATAATAATTCTCCAGGAATTAGGGGCAATTTGAGAAAGAGCTATCTTTAAATAAGAAAGAATTTCTTTTACAAATGGATGAATCGGAAAACACAGGCCCGCAGCAAAAGTCGACTCGAAAAAGCATACCTCGCCCAAACGAATAGAAGAACATCTATCTTCTGGTTTGGGTTTGTGAAGGTGAATAGATGAAGGAATGAAATATTTAAATCTACAATTCTATAAATTCTCATCCTTAATTAAGGATTCTCCTTCACATAGAGGTTGCTTGGAAAAAGCAGTCCTTGGTCTTTGGGAGTAATCAACACCAGATTCGTCAGCATAATCAGGATCAAGTTCTTCAACACTTTCAGAGGTTGAGTCCTCAGATTAAGATTCAATATTCAAGTTATTTTCCTGCACGGACATGATGAGATATTGGATATCGCGAAAATAGCGAAACCACTTTGGAATTACACCGATAACCCAGTAAAGACAACTTGACCCAATTACGTATCTACAACAATCCACAAGAAACTCACAGTTAGGATCCAGGTTAAAGGATTTCAGACAAAAAAGAAAAGGGATGTAAATAAATAAATTATTTATTTATTTATAGGAAAATTCTTTTTCAAGTAACAGTGAAGTTCTTATAAAGGAGTCTTACTACAATATGGAAGGGGCTTGTAGTAAAAAGGAAATAAATAAAATATAGAAAGTATTTCTTGGTCCAAAACGTACCCGGAAATAGGGGGTAACTGATAGGGAAAAATAACCCTAACCTATCTTGACCTAATGATAGAGGTAATGAAGTATTGACTAGCCGCCAAACCTCTTCAACTTTCAAGCGATAATATCTCATTATCAAGGATAACCATTTTTATTAGATAAGAATGATGACAAATCATATCGAGGATAAGATTTGTCATGGGGTAAGTTCAAATCTTATCAAGGATAAGATTTCCACGAGATAAGCTCCAAGGGCTAAGGATGATGAAATTCCCTTATCAAGAATAAGGGAAGTGACTATAAATACGAAAATGACTCGGGAATAAGGTACACACAAAAAATCTCATACTAAGACTCTTTATGATAGAAGTTCTTTCTTTGACCACTAACTTGATCGTCGGAGGGTCAACGGCCGGCACCACACTAGTGTTTGACTTTGCCATCCTTGTTTTGAAGGAAATGGTGTCGTAGTAGGCTGCGGCGAATTTCAACCTCAACAATTGATATGATGATTGTTGTGTGTGTGTTTGATTATTAATTAAATTATTTGCGTGTTGATTTTATTAGTATGGTGTGACTTGGTTGTAATTTCTTATTTTGTTTATGTGCTTCAAGTAATTAGTTATTTTAATTTAAGTGTTTATTTAATTATTTATTTTATTTAAATTAATTAGATTTGGGCTTAAGGGAAGTTGGACCAAAGGATGTGATCTTGGGCATGAAGGAAGCCTTGTTGGGTTAATTAATAAGGGCCCATGGTTATAAAGATATTTAAATAATTATCTTTACATAATTTTAGATATATGTGTGTGTGTGTGTTTATGATTTTATTTTAGATATATATATATATATATATATATATATATATATATTATATAATATATGTGCATACATATTATTTAAGATAATAATTATTTTTACTATTTTATTTGGTAGTCCTA